GGTCAGAATCATGGCTGCCTGTTGGGGGTGGGTTTAACCTTTGTGACTGGTATAGCAAGCATCTCCTGATTTTGCAGAAGGCAAGTTTCTGTCCCTTGCGAACAGAGACGGGCAGATCTTTTCTCTCCCAAGGAGAGAACAGAGACACTGGCACGTCTCCAGGCCAGTAAGTTTTTTTCTTGGGCTAGTTTCTATTTCTTGAGAGTAAGAACAGAATAAGAGCTGCCACTGCCCCTGTTTTCTTTCCAGTTGTGAYATAATTTAAATCAAGCATCGATTGAGAAAAAAAATCAGGATGATATAAACGAAATCACAATAGTGAATGTTGTGTTTTGTACTAGCTCAGAGTGATGCGGGGTAAAATAATAGCCATTTTTCATGAGAATGAATAAAAAACACAAAATAATAAGTTCATAGCAGGTGTGGTTCATATGTAGTTATTTTATAGTAATGTAAAGCTATTTAGATTAAATTTATGGAGTATTCATAAAGTGAAGGTGGGGAGAGGAAGATGGCTGTAATTATGCCAACAGTTTGGTCTTTTCTGTTTTCAAATGAATATTATATCTTTTAATGACAGGTTTTTCCACCCATTCCTTTGTTTTCTTGACAATTATCTGTTTTTTTCCACACTTTGGGGTTTGCTGGTTGGCTTCTTATGGTACCATTCATCATGGTCTCCTGCCCCTAGATTTGCTGCAAATTGACAGCTGGATCTAGAAGTTTGTCCAACTCAAGGCCCGTTTCTTTAGCAAGGCAATAAGAGGTTCTCTATTCTTTCATTAAAGGGCTCATGCTACCTGGTATTCTCTTTTTGTGATGTTAATAGTTACTGTTGCTCAATATCTAGGATTTTTTTTAATATCCTGGGGAATTGAAAAATGATGATTTTAGAATTCCATGATTTCATTTTCATTTATTAGATGRAATAATACCAGCAAGAGAGGCTTCTCTCACCTGCCACTTGGGAAAATGGTACAGTTGACATAGGATCAGCAGTCTCAGAGCTTTTTTTTGTTTGTTTGTTTGTTTAAGATAATAGATTGGTTTCCTCTTATTCTCTGGAGGTGATCAATTAATTTTAAAGTATCTTTGGTAATCATTATAATTTGAATTTATGCATCTTTGAAGGCTATTTATCCACTACATTTTTAATCCTTATTGAAACACAAATTATCCTACCTTTGGCTAGTGTGGTCTCTTCCAAGTTGGCTCTCATGTCCTTTTAACTTGGCCCATGTAGTTTTTGATAGCCATCTTGCAATCTGATGTGACAAGRCATTTCATACTATCGTGTAGTCTACCTGACTCAGACCTTGAATTAGTCTCTTCTCTGAGAATTCTGGGTTTCTTTAASTGGGAAAGGGTGGCACAGGAACACATTGCATTTGAGATGCTCAGAGCTATCAGGTGTTCATTGTTTTTACAACTTTTCTGTGGAAAGATGAAATATTTCTTGAGTTCAAGTGAATATTTCCTATTCAAATGCACAGAGAATCCTGCTTTTCAAAGACATAGGACATGATGGAATTACAATGTCCCATTCAATGACTCCTTTGCTTGGTCTGGAATTCCACACAGAACAGTCTCAGAATAACAATACTATCAGATCTTGTTAGGAAAACCAAAAACAGTTACCAATTTTAAACAAATGATCTTCCTCCATTATTCATGGTTATAACTATACTATCAGAGCATAGTATCCTTATATACTTTCTTCTTTTTAACTCTTTTTTTGTTTTAGTTCTCGAATATGTACATACTTAATACTCATCATTAGACCCTACATCAATATCGGTCTTGTTGTTTTGTTGTCTAAATTTATTCTCTACTAGAAATTGAAAAGGCAAAGGAACAATATTTCCTGAGTTCTTGTGTGTTGATAACAATCTGTTATAGTGTTAAAATTTATACCTGAATTGTGCTTTTTTATTATTTGTCAATTTGCTTGTTTTGTTTATCTTATCAAGTACTTTTGTTGTTAGTATGTTGTATCTTCTTTATCTTAAATATTTATCATTTTCTCATGAATCTATTTTTAACCTTTGTTTATTTCTTTTTGGTTTTTAAAAATTTTTCCTTGACTCACTTTCTGTTTTTCATGCCATTATTTCTTACATTTATTTGTTGTTGTATTGCTTGTCTAGTTTTCATTTCTGTATTGATTTTTCCTTATATTTCTAATTCTTTCCTGAGTTCTGCTGCCTGATTTATGAATTAAAAAAAAAACAACATAGTATTTGTTCCTTAATGTTTTGTGTCATTTTCTTTTCTTCTTAATTCTTCCTTTTTTCTTTTTATCTTGTGGTGCTAGGGATAAAAACCAGGGCCTTGTACCTGCAAGGCTGGTCCTCTACCACTGAGTTCTACCTGCAGCCTCTGTGTCATTGTCTTAATGTCTTTGTTTATTTTGAAATAGTAGATTACAGATTTTACCCGTTTTACATGCAAATTTTCATGATGGGGGTGTTGTTTGTTCCTTTTTCTCTTTTTTCTTATCATAAGTAGGTATAAAATGTGATTGGATACTATTACTCATTTTTATGTGATATTAATTTTCTCACACTTTTAGAAGGGACCATGGTGGTACCTTCCCCAGATTTCCTGTCCCTTGTCCCCTTCCTCCTTTGGTCTAAACCTTATCTTTCCTTTGTCTCTTAATAAATTTTTATTCTACTCTCATTGGTTTCTCTTAGTGTCACCTGTCCTAGGAGGGAGGCCCAGCGGGTCACTTACATGACTTCACTTCTCCTAGAACTTATGTGGACCTCTGTGCTCCCCCACTGATGGAGCTGGAACAGCTGTCCTGTGTTCAGCTGTGGTTCCCAGTGCTTTTCCTGTGACTATTTTGAGTGTCTTCACATTCTTGTCCTCATATCTCCCAGGCACCACTTGGTTCCTTTGGCTTCCTTCCTGCATAGACATGGATACCATGCAGGAGCTGCAGCTATTAGTCTCACCTGTATGTTGGGCTTTGAGGGGATATTTTGTCACCTATTTTTGTTGTAAACATTTCAATATGAGTTTCATTTTGCTATTTGGTTGCTCTATTTTGCGAGCGAGATTCTGAAAGAACCAAAAACTATTCAGCCACCACCACTGTCCACCACCACTGTCATCTTCCCAGTTGTGATATAATTTAAATCAAGCATCAATTGAGAAAAAAATAAGGATGATATAAATAAAATCACAGTAGTAAATGTTGTAAAAATAATAGCCAGCTTGCATGAGAATGAATGAAAAACACAAACAAAATAATAAGTTCACAGCAGGTTTGGTTCATATGTGGTTATTTTATAGTAAAATAAAGCTATTTAGCTTATATTTATGGAGTCGCTTAAAAATATGGGTTTTAAATGGCAAAATTTAAATGGGTTGTTCCTTTCTCATCTCATTACAGCCTCCCCTGACCTCTCAACACATATTTTCTCTCCCTCCTGCTGGCAGAGACTCACAGAGCTAATGGTCAGGGAAAGGGTAGAATGGTCTCCGTAATCGAATATCCACCTGAGAGTCTCTGTTCAATGAGTCCACATTAGCTCTCATGTGTCATGATTTCCAAGAAACAATTTTAAGACTTGACCTAGACTTTTTCAAGCTAGGAACAGTTGACAGCAAGTTTTAGTGCAGGTTATAAAGAGTGGCAAATATTATTTGTTCTTTATGTTATCCCCCAAAATCTATACTGTTGTACATTAAAGGACTTACCAAGCTCCTGCTTTATGCCAAGGTGCATGTGCTATGTACAGGGGATGCAGCAGAGACCCAAGGGACTTCTGTTCAGGGTCAGGACTCATTTCCCAGAGATGCTCGGTGTGCTAGTCTTGGCATCGTTATTAAGCAGTCACTCCTGCAGATAAGTTTTTGTAAAGCAAAAATATTTTTAGAATCACATCAACTTAATTCTCAAAAATTTTGTCTTAAAATATTTCCCCTAAAGACATGCAAACACTTGAAATAATGCTAGTCCCCAAGGCTAAGCAGGTGGTGAGCCTGGAGTTGTGGCTTAATGCCACTAAGTATAGCATGTCTCCTTTTCCTAGAGGGCTTGTTTATTGTTATTTTCTATGCAATTTTAAGCAAATGCCAACTCATAATGGAGCCTGCTTCTAATGACATAAAAATCAAAACAGCCAGGCTTGTTTCACATTGTGACTGCAAGCAAAGATTAGTGTGTTTTAAATGTACTTGCTGTTTAAATCAATGTTATACATCTCTGTAAATGATGGAGTCTTTTATGAAAAAAAAATGAGCACTTGCTAATTTATCTTTTTTGGAAGTTAAGAATTTTATATATTAGGTTTGCTTCAAGTGGGGAAATCCAGCACATGGCCAGTTGCTAAACAAGTCGTTGTCATCATCTGAGTACCAACGTTTGTATTCTTCACAAAGCAACACACGCTAAATTGTTTTGTTCCTTTATTCTGTCCCCCTTTCTCACCAGATTCTAAACCTTTCGAGTGCAAAAGTTTTTTTTTTTTCTTATTTCCTGAGTGCAAAATCCTCTGGACCACCATTGAGTTCTTACCAAGTAACCATAGTGGTGGTGACGAGGGTCAAATATGGAAGAAGTCCTTCTGGTTTTTTCTTTTGGGATCATCCTTGGATATGTCCATTTACTCTGTTAGCCATTCTGTGTGCTATGTTCCAGGAAGACTAAGAAAACATTAATAGTCTGCACCCTTGAGATGTCCATAGTCTCATTAGATAAAAAAACAAACATAAAATGTTAATGAAAAAACTGTCACATTATCATTTGGATATTAAACAAGATTTATATGTTAAATTGAAGTCTTTATAAAATATTTGGGGTTTATTTATAAAGCTTATCATCTTTCCACTGAGTGATATCAATTGTTCTATTTTAATGCCTGTTTCCCCCTCCTTTTTCTTTCCACATATTTGGCAACTTCTAGTAAGAAGAGAATTATTATAGCTATTTTGATCATCTGGCATATTTTTAACATTGATATAATTTTCTGATCACATGTCTTGCTTAGGAAAGAGATTCTGTGCACAGACAGCACGAGGCAGCCCGGCAGGCACTCATGGGAAAGACGCCTCCTGGTCATACACTCCTATTTCAAAGGTAGCAGTTTATCACATTTATTGATAGCCAAGCCATCTTAGATTGATTTGCTGGTGTCCATTTATACCAAATGCATCCTAAATCATCAACAGAAACAGAGACCTCTGCACTAAAATGGACCTTATGATTTAGTGTCAAACCCAGTTCTAGAAGCTGTATCTCCTTGTCATTTATATATTGTTTTAAAAGGTACAATATGCTCATAGCTTCTAGAAACTGATGGTATTTTGCTGACTGCAAAGCATAATGTTTCCAGTGGTGTTGGAATCTAAGTACTAGGCTTCACCAAGACTGTTCATGACTGAGGGTTAATTATATCCTGTTGATTTCCCTGTTCTTGTCTGTCAAGACTCTCAAAATGATGGTAATTGTGTGTGGGGTCATTTGTTAAGTGTCTCCTTTCCATATTAGACTGGAAATTCCACGGGGATAAGGGCTGTTATATCTTTATTAATTCATGAATTCTTAGTCCTTGGTATGAAATGTTTTACTAGGACCTGCCACATAGTGAAGGCTTCACAGATATTAGTAGCTACAATAATTATTGTTCTGTTAATAATTATACATGATGAGGTAAGACTTTAGGTTTTAAGTTTCCCTGAAAATGAATAATATGCAAACATAATCATCCTAGGATGATTATGTAACATTTTCATGTTATTTCTCATTAATGTTAGTAGGCTTTCTTTGGATAGTCTTATTAAAAAATGCAGGCTGTGTGTAAATGCAAAATTCTACTGGGACATTGGGAGGGTGGGGATCAGGAAGTAGACTGTGTTCCCAGAGCAGCTAAAGTCGGGGATTGTGTGCCTACCAGGGTGTCGTGCCTACTCAAACACTGTGGACAGAAAAACTAAGCAGTTTTAAATATGAGCTTCAAATGGATCATCACTCGGCAGATAGATGCTTTGAATTTGCATGCACTTACATGCAATTGGACTGCTTTGCACATAGCAACAGCAGCAAGTCTGAGCTGAATTGCAGCAGAGTTTATTCACTGAAAATGGTTAACAATTCTTTTTCTCTGCAGTCACTCTGAGTGAACAGGCATATGCATTCCATATACATAAATAGATGAAAAATGAATATTTTATACTAGAGCTTAGTTCAGAGTATATTATTAAAATTTTCAGAAACATTTCACTGGAGTACCATCTCAAAGCATTAGATTATAAACAAAACTGGAAAATATCTATTTCAATTTTTGTAGCAGTTGGTATATTGCTAGGCTTTTTATGACAAATGGACTAGGGCTTATAACAGAGTATATGCAAATCACGGAAAGATAATATGCCTGTATTAATGACCTAATGGATAAGGAATATCCGCAATAGTACAAATGTACAAAATCTTCAGATTAGGATGTAATGATGCCAATGTCCAAGATAAGCTCTGAGTGGGTATGCTACATTACCCYGAATAGATTTTATTGGCATTTACATTTTTGTGAGATATAATGGTCAGTATTTGGGTATTGTGTGTGTGTATGCTTAATAACACCATAAAATCCTTTGTTTTAAAAAAAAATTCTAATTTTAGGGGTTCGGTACCAGCACCTGTGATCAATGGTCTACAATATTTCAATGGCCTACAATATTTTACAGCTTTAGAGGACCTACATAAAAGTTTTGAGCTTTCTGAAGATTATTTTAAATTTCCTTTTGGACCATATGCTGAAAAGAGGTGAGCTGAGCTTTGTGGAATGGAATCGTTTGTTTTCTGCTGGTTAGTTAAAACTCATGATCTTCATCCCTAGCCTTCAGAGAAACTCTAAAACTGAGAAGCAGGGCCCCACTCTCCACTAGGGAATTTGAAGAAATTAGACCCTGCCCCTCYAAAGAGGGCACAGTTATACAATGTAGGTTCATAAATCTGGGACTTTGAATCTTGAGGGAGGAACACAAACAGCTAGAGGCAGTTAGAGACATTCAGGTCACCAGTAGAAGAAGAAACAAGAATCCAGAGGAATGGTTCAGGCATCCATTGTGATAATACAAGCTATGTTCTGCTCATCTATTCCTATCTATTTTGACACCTAGCTTACCTTGGTTCCTGTCCAGAACCTGGTTCCTGATTTTTATTAATTCTATACACTAATCAATAGCTTTCCAGTAACTCCCTTTTTAATATTCAGATTAGCTAGAGTTGATGATTGAAATTTGCACCCAATATCTCTGATCAGCACAATGCTCTATTTCAAAATGTTTATTAACTGATATCATACATATGCATATATTTTACCTTGTTCCATAAGCAAACCAGAACCATTAAGTGGCAGAAGGGAAACTTGGCCCCCAGCTAGGACCATGAGACACAAAGCTCGGCTAAGAACATTCTCCCCCACCCCCACCCCCAGTTCCAACCTCCACCCCACTTTCCCACTCTGACTGGCTAATAAATCCCTCAGGTCTTAAATGTCACTACTTCATGGAGATCTGTCCTGGAATTACTAGTGTATGATCTTCTAGTATCCTATGTTCCCCTTCATGTCACTTACACAATTTTAATGATGTGTGTGTGATTCCATAGGCCAGTAAATTGCTAAGCTGTATGAGGACAGGTCCAAGTCTCTCATTCATGGTGGATCCCCTGAAGTTCTCAGTGCTAGCATATGAATGACTCGATAAATGAATAACAGGAAAAGAGATTAGGGCTTGTGCCTTACTAATCTTGTTTTACACTCCAGCACCTATTGCAATACCAAGTTCATAGTAAGTGCTGAGTTGTGTTTTGTATGATAGAAGAGGAGTTTGTGCTATGTGTCTAGTACCTACTACCATCAGCCATGTCAGCTGCTATACAGCGCTTGCTGCAGATACCATTTAAGACAAGCCTAATAGAGACATATTGTAAACTACCGTCATGACTTGACAAAGGTTACCCAGTGAAGTCGTTAGGATRGATCATATGACCATCAGTAATTTTGCATCTCAAAAAGAGTGTTCTTTTTTTTTTTTCCCCCCCAGTGGCAAGAATACTTACTCCAAGAAGTATTCTGCACTTCACTCTTATCTGTGGTCAAAAGAATGGTCTTTTCAGCCCCCAGAGGGCAGTATTTCCTCACGCCCAGGATCAGGAGCAAGTGACGGTGAAATGGATCAGGCCTTAAAAGGTATGTATATGAGTATGTGATATTCATATGTTTTTTTGCCATCTTTCTGACTGGTCCTGATTGTTTTAAATGAAGTCAATGAATAGACTTTTAAAGGAAAGTGAGAAATGTTCTAGGACCTTCTTAAAAGCTGTGACCTGCTACTCCAGGGCCTGAGGGGACCCAGAAGCCTGGACAAAGCACGTACATCAAGATTCTGGCTTTGCAAAGGACGGTGTTCCCAGATCTTCCCCAACTCATTTTCTCTCACTGTTCTTTAAATAGGATACTTGGAGTATCACATATACTCAGAGAACACACAGCTTTTTAAACAGTATGGCCAAAGCAAAGTGGGGCTGTTTTCTATGGTATGGTACCGTAGAAAGAGCATTAGATTAGGAATCACAAGACCTGAGTTCTAGTTTCATAACATTGGGCAAATAAGTTAATAATTGAGCTTTGTGAATAATAATATCTATTCTATACGATGGTCTTACATATTATTATACGTATGTATAGTATAGTGTAGTATATATAATATAGGACTAGATAAGATGAGATATGGTATAAGATGTAAGAAGTAAAATACTAGATACTTGTTATTTATTGTAATTGGAAATTTTTATACACGTAGCAGAAGATTTTGCTAGTTTTTTTCAGAGATGGTTTGTAGATGTGGGGTGTGTGTGTATGTGTGTGTGTGTGTGTGTGTGTGTGTATTTGCATGTTTCTTGGAATGAGCCATGTTTTCCTGTTTCTTTGTATACCTTATAATCTTTTGTTGAAAATTGGGCATTTGAAAGAACAGCCACCTTGAACACTGGCTGAGTGCAGGGCAACACCTTCATCAATTATCAGAGTGTGTCCAAAATGCATGAAAGCTTAACTTTTAGGACTTTTCTGGGTATGCATTTCCCCTGGTGCCTATTTATTGGCTTTTCCCCAATTCCCCAGTATACAGAGCTGCTTTTAAAAGTCTTATTTTCCTAAGGGTTGTATTTCTGCTTCTTCTTTGGATGTTAGCTCTATAATTATATTCCTTGATTCCTCGTGTGGTTTCCATGAGCCATTCCTACTGTTTCCTGTGACTTTCCATAGTTTGAGATCCCAGTTGTGCCTCTTTGGGATATATGAATTTTTTCATTAGGTGATACAGAGACCAATCAGACAGCCTCCAGACAGGTTAGAACATTATAAAACAGGTATGCTCTACTCTCTCTGGTTCACAGAAAGGTACTAGGACATGACGGCATTTCCCCCAACCACACTGTGGTGTGCTAGGGAGGTAGTTAGGTAAGGGTGAATGAAACAACATAGAATTTCCCTCCATTGTAAATATGGCTTTTTACTGATTGAGCATTCTCTTGGCTGCATGTACGTGGTCATGAAAGAATATGGCATGGGACATTGTTACAGAGGGTGTAAGCAGGGTGGAAGAGGAGCTGAGAAATTGCTGCCTGAAAAGCCTTCTGGTCCCTGGGCAAGTCTAGACAATGTAAAGCTTGTCCAATTTTCCACATGATATATCTGACCTCTTCACCCATTTTTTCTTTTTCAGTGTAATTTATTCAATATAGTTTGTCATAAACAAATCCTAAAACTCCTTCTAATGCTTGCTTACAGCATACAATGCTTGTTTTCTTTGTTTAGTGTACCAAAGGATTAACTATATTACTGGATCTTTTCTCTTTAATGTTTTYCAGCACTGCATAAACAGTCATCTTCATCTGATAAAAGGACTTTCCAACCCAAAAGACACTCTGGTGCAGTTACAGTCCGCCCAGGTTCCAACACYAAACCTGTCCTCCCTCCAATTCCTCAGGGCTACAAATAGACGAGCACTTGATATCTGATCTTTAACCTGGAAAACTGGCTTTGAAAATGTCCAATCCCTGTGTCTTACCAGGCCATGGCTCTCAGCCGTTTCTCCCTCAACCACCAACCTACTAAAGAATGTTCCACCTGCCTTAATTTCCTCAATCAATTTCTGTTATGATTCTCTGAATTGCGTTTTTTATTTATCTTTTATTATTTTTCTTGTTTTAAAATGTTATTCTTAGCTTTTAAAAATGCCTTTTCAGTTTTTCCCATAGCTACAAATGATTTTTCCAGCTGCTTCCTGCTCTGAAATATCAGATGTCAAAATCTCCCAAGGTTTCTGCATTGCTTTGTGTGTAGTGATTTTTGGATATATCCAATGGGGATCATCCGCTGAAGATTTTAATGTATCCATTTATAACTTAAGTGGGTGCGCTAGAGAATTGAATTATTTTGTTTTAATTATGAAAGAACCTTAGAGTTCCATTTAATTTGTGGTCAACATGTCAACTGTACCTCTCGAAGGGAATTAATGAATGTATTTTGGTGAGTTCTTCACTTCCTTTAGCAATATGAGGGACTAAAGAGTATCAGGTAATTTTTTTATTTCACCTTTTCCAGACTCTGATTATGTTCTGCTTTGTCATTAAAAATATTTTAAAACAACTTTCACCATCTTGTTATTTCACTCCCTGCCTTTTGCAGGAAAAAAAAAAATCATTGAGTAAATATGTGCCAGTAAACTTCTCTCCATTGCTAAAACATAGAAGCACCTCCTTGTGGACTAGTAAGTGGTTTCTTCTCTGAGTCCTCCATGCATGATGACTAGTGGGAATAGGAGTGTCCACGTCATACTGCACTAATTCTTAAATATTTCCATTATTAGAATCTTCTAGCAACTCCCCCTTTTCTTTTCTTTATTCATTTCTATAGTACTTGGGCTCAAAACCTGGGCATGTACATCCTCTGCAAGTKCCCTACCACTAAGCTACCTCCCAGCCCTTGACTTTCCCTTTTAAAATATTAGCCCCTCTTTAACAACACTCTTCTCCGTAACTTATACTTGGGTATGACATGATTGCTACTGACTTATTTCTTCCACAGAGTCCCCTTCTCAAGTAGGAGCTGGTTAAAGTTTTTTTCCTTAGAGTTGAGAAGAACGGGTCCAGGGACTTGGAGGAGAGAACAAGAGCAAGCAGGAGAAAGAGAGTCGATCTTTTCTGGAGAAGTGGGGAGGCAGAGGGTGGGCCACAGTGTCCCAAGAATCTATAAGAAATAATTTGACCTTCACAGACATCATCTAACCTTTTCAAAATTATTATGAGATATTTTAGATATAGTTGAAGATATAAAAATAATAGTTCCAATTTCAGACAACGTGAAGATTTATTTTTTTCCTATTTCTCCCTCTAAATACAGCTCATACATTGGAAATGATATWTAAAACAAGCRTAAGAAGGCCCTGAGGGGTGGAAAGAAGGCGGAGAAGCTAAGCATCTCATGAACTTCTGGTTTCCTTTTTGCCTCATATATCCTGAACTGAGTGCTAAGTAAACTATAATCCCCAAACACGAATGTGTACAAATCCCAAACTAAAGCTTGTTCTCTCTAGTCACAAGAATAGGAAAGGGGCAGCCTTGTGAGAGAGCCGCAGCCAAACACCACGGGAAAATGCCATGGCCCACTCTCCCTTCCCACACCTGTCACAARGGCTTTTCCTCCTCTCTGCTACGGTAATGTCAGAGAAGGTCTTGTGGAGAGCCAGGACTTTTGCCACTGCCCAACAATCACAATAATCTTTCCCCATAGTCATCAAAGGTCACTCGGGGAGCTGATATTTATTAAACTATGGGTAGTAATGAATACTTCTCTTCCTTCCCACTGGAGAGTGAGAGAAGGTCTCGTGGAGAGCCAGGACTTCCCCCACTGACCCTTCTCTTTGCAGTAATGAAGTACCCCTCCCCATCTCTTCTAGGGTAGTGTTTTAGTCAGCTTTTTCACTGCTGTGACTAAAGGRCCTGACCAGAACAATTGTAGAGGAGGAAATGTTTATTTGGGGGCTCACAGTTTCAGAGGCCTTAGTCCGTTGAAGGCCAGCTCCATTTCTTCAAGCTCGAGGTGAGGCAGGACATCATGGAGGAAGAGTGTGGCAGAGGGAAGCAGCTCACATGGTGATCAGACAGCAAGTGTACCTCCACTTGCCAGATACAATATATACCCCAAAGCTACGCCCCAGTTCCCACCTCCTCTAACCACACCCGGCCACTTTATTTACCCCTCAGTTAATCCCTATCAGGGGATTAATTCACCAATTAGGTTAAGGCTATAACACAATCATTTCTCCTCCAAACTTTATTGCATTGTCTCCAACTTGAGCTTTTGGGGAACACCTCACATCCCAACCTTAACTGTTGGTACCATTGTACACCAATTAGGCATCCTAAATTTCCMCTCCCACCAACTTTAGTGATATATCCCTCTTCTCCTTTCCACCCTGAATGTCTACAAAGGTCAAATGCAGAACTTAGTCTTCTACCTGGCCCCAACAGTAATGATTTACTTTCTTCTTCCTCCACTAGCATTGTGTAAGAGAAGGCCTGCTGAAGCAGAATAAGTTAGACTCCATGTGTGTATAATATGTCAAAATACACTCTACTGTCATGCATGTCTAAAAAGAAGAAATAAAAAAACTTGAAAAATTTTTTGCCACATCTACCAATTAAGTTTTACCAATTGTGTTATTTAAACTACCTAGAGACAGCTTCTTATTTTTGCCAACTTGTTCTGGAATAGATGATATTGCATTTTAATATCACACTATAATTATGTTTTTGTATCTTTCTTCTTATATATCAAATAGTTTTTTGCTATATAAATTTTGATGTTATGTTAATCAGCTCATAAGTGCTGAGGGCTATTATCATAATTATAGATTTCATCTTGTTTCAATATAAAAGAGTCCTTTTGTTCATTGTTCTATTAAATTGTTTTGCTTTGAACTTCTCTTTGATAATATCGGTGCCACCTGTGATTATTTTTATTTGCCTGATACACCTATCCTTTTAATCTTATTCTTTCTATGTAATTTAATTTTGGTCTCATTGTTCTTCTTTAACCCCATCTGAATCTGCCTTGTACTTCATTTAAGGAGCAAAGCTATTTTTATTTAGTATTAATAACTCTAATAATGCCTGTAAGTTACTGAGTCCTATTTCTATCACTTTGTTTATATTTTCTGATGAATTTGAGACTTTTTTTGCCATTTCACTGATTGGTTTATGTCTCTTGCTATATATTTTGCTCTTTTCATTTGTWCTAATTTGGAAGATATATATTTTCCTACCCTGATGTATATCTATAATTKAAATTATTTTTATTTCTCCTGTCTTTCCCATTCCCACAACTATAAATTTAATTAAAAATTATAGACTTAGTTTATAGAACTTCACCATTTTTTTTACAAAATAAATCTTTAAGGGCTGTTTTGGCTTAAGTACAATATTTGTATTATTTTGCCCCTCTCTACATTTTTAGCAGTTTCAGTGTTTACTATCAATTACTTTATGATACCTTTCTCATTGTCCAATGTTAAAGCCAGAAGGGGAAGTGAAGAAAGGAGAGCATATCTGAATAGTTCTACAGTAAGGAGAAGTCCACTTGATTTCTCTATTCCACCTTGAAAGATGAAAYGGAACAGGTAACTGGGGTTTTTATTTGTTTGTTTTTAACATTTATTCTATTCTCAGGATATATTTTCTTTATGTTATACCCAGGATGTTATGCTCAGTAGAAACACCACTAATTCATTCCATCACTCATTGAATGGAAAGTTAAGTTAGGTAGTTGCTAATATGCTGCCATATTAACCTAAAACTTCAAATTCTGGGAAGCATTAAGATTTCAAAAGTTCATAAAGATGTATGTATGTGTGTGTGTGTGTGTGTATATACTGGTATACCATCTCATTCCAAAAAGGTTTGAGGATACTTACAGTAGTAAATTCAATTCCATTAGTAACATGAAAAGGGAAAGATATTGGGCAAAGAGGAAAAAAATAAAACAACAACAACAAAAAGATGATGTTTAATGTATCAAATGCAAGCCCTCGTTGGTAGAGGTGGATGAGAAAAACAAGTGTCCGAATTGCCCCACCAAAGAAGGAAGCATGATATCTTCCACCGTTTCAAGATTCATGATAACCTTAAAGTTGAATAATAGTTGCTCAGTAGCAGCACTGCTATTCTTGATGACAAGACTTCAGAGACATTTCTTTTCCAGTTGTCCCAAAGGGGGTGCTCTATGAATGTGGGGACCCCATTCTCAATAGCTTATAAGCATCAAATACCATCTTGATTTAAGGAGGCCTTTTGTTGTAATGTCTTCCAATATAGACCTACATAATACAAAATTCACAATTCTCCCCATCCCTGCCCACCAAAACAATTATTGGAGAAGCTGTAAATATGTAGGGAGACACTAGAATATAAGTCACCTACATGAGAATCCCTGAGTTCAAATCCTGGTTCAGTCATTTGCCAGGAGTCTGATTTTAATTAATTTGGGCAGCACTCAATCATGGAGGGACTGCTGGAGATGTCATTTCACTGAAGTGTAGGGGCTAAGGGATTGGTGGAGTCACGTAATGAATCAGGCTGAAGAACAGGAGGCAGGTCTCTAGCTTCAGTTGTCCAACCCCTTGTGGCTGGGTCTTGGAAGAGAAATTAATAATCAAGTGGTGGAAAATGGAAGGCAAAAAGATATTATTCTATTGATTCTATGAAACACATTTTTCACACTTTAATATCTGTAAAAATCAGGGCACATTTTTAAATTGATGGCATGCCACAGTTGAATTGGCAGCATTGTTTTTCTTTCTGGGTGGAATATAAAATGATGGTATATGTTATAACATTCTCAATTCAACAAAACATGGTAGCAATAATGATTACAAGGGAACTGCTGCTCCTCAGGGGCAGCCAAGGTCTCTTTGAGGAGATCCTATGGATCCCTTTAAAG